TGCCATCACCCGCGCGGTGCTCCCCGCCACCGCAGCGCCCCTTCCCACCCCTCGCCGCTACCGCAGTGACGGGCACGGCTCCTCCCGTCCCTTCCGAGCCTTCTGGGATGGGCGGAGGCGCGACCCTCCCGGGGGTGGGGGGCTGCTGCCGCCCGTGCCGGGTGTGTGAGGGGGTCACCTCCACAGCGAGGGTCCCCCCGAGCCCCCCGCTGTGGCCCTGGCAGGGTTCGGCTCCCCCGGGGCCGCCGCTTTCCCCGGGAAGCGCCCCGCGGGGATGGGCTGGGGGTGCGCATCCCTTCCTGCCGGGATGGTTTTGCTCTGTGTCCCCGCCTCTGCCGTGTGTAAACACGCGGCCGTTCCCCTTGCACGGCAGGCATTCCTCTTAGTTTTTATGCATCTTGCGCTCCTACAAGCCCGGCTCGGAACAGAACGCCTATGAGGATTTGAACGTGCCGGAGACACATCTTTGAGGCGCTTCTCTTTCTCTTTTGTTTTGCTTTAAACGAGGACGTAGCGAGCGAGCAAGAAAGGGAGCAGAGTCATCAGGCTGACCTGGCAGGAACGTAAAGCTCTGCAAGCTTTACAAAGCCCCCCAAATCCCTCTGTCTTCTGCGCCATCCAGAGAGCAGGTTGGACGTGGTGGCCGTGCCCCTGTATTGCAGGGACCAGAACTATCCCGGTATAAACGCTGCCCACAGTCATGGGCAGGAAGATAGAGGGGTAGAAGCAATCCTGAGTCCTGCAATTGCAGGTTATCTTGGTTTATAGCAGCTTATCTGTGCTAGCGGCGCTTCGGGCAGCAACTTTTATAGCTTGTGTCTCGTTCAGCCTTTCTTTTCTGCAGTGGGAGATCTTGGGAAGGGTCTGGCACCCGGGGGAATGTTCCCCTCTTCGAGGAGTCCGTCCCTTTGCTGTGGGAGTTGTCGCCTGGATGGGGATAGCTGGAGGAGCAGTTGGTGCTTTTTCATTTTCTGCACTAGACGAGAAAGCGTCCCTGCTCCTGGGGGCTGGACTTCAATGGTCTCTAAGGTCCCTTCCAACCCAAAGCACACCCTGGTTCCAGTGCGATTGGCATTGTCCCTGCTGTGCAGAGGGACTGCTCTGGAAGCAATTCTCTCCATTGCACCCTTTTACTACAGGAAAGCAGCTGGGTTTCCATCCCCTCCAGCCTTGTAACAGTGGCTGTTAAACAAATAAAAGCCCAAGTGTCTGACACCGTCAAGGACTTTTCGTTCTGCATTATCATTTATGCTGATACTCGCAGATCTGCAAACGAGCTCACAACATAGCCCGCTTGTTTGCAAATCTGTAGATGACCAGAAAATGCAGTGCAAGGACACTGACCCTGCCTCGATGTGGTAGGGGGTGGGGAGCACAAGGGTGGGTCCTGGGTGCTGGAATTGCGGTGGGCAGCAGATTGGAGGCAGCTTGTTGAGATGCCTGGAGGAATGTGGGGAATGCAAAGCACATGTGGCTATCTGGGCAGGTGGGGCAGATCTGGGGCTTGAGGGGGAAAGCCTGGAGTTGCTGAAGCAAGCTGTGAAGCAGGGGATGATGAAAGTGCTCAGAAAGCCTCCCTGAGGCATTGGTGGAAGAACTCTGGGGCATTTGGGACCTTGTAGGAGCCAGGCTTTTGGCTGAGGGAGTTTGCGTGTAGCGGTGGGTGCCTCTGCTCTCAGCCCTGCTGTTGCCATTACCTTTGCTTGCTCCTCCTGGCTGCTCTTTTTCCCTGGAGCCAGGGGGATAAGCTGCCATCCAGCTGCTCCATCTCCTACCAGCCCTATGAGCCTGTCTTTCCACAGGCGTGGAGTTTTCTGCTGGACATGGAGTGTCCCCATGGGCTGGGCACAGCGTGTGGCAGGGCTGCAGGTGTAGCTGTGGCTGCCAGGTGGGTTTTGTTAACCCAGAGTGAGCTCAGGAGCAGCTGAGGTTGCAGGTTCTGCAGGGGTATTGGTCCTGTGGCATGGGGAGGTGTGTGCTGCTGTTTCTGATCACTGATCATCACGCTTTGCATTTCATTACAGTCTTTGCAACAGATCTTTCTGTCAGAGAAAGCAGGAGCTTGAAAACATTTACGTTATGCCACTGCCTTTTAAGTTCATATTGTAATGGTTTTTACTTTGGCACAATGACATTTCAGATTCTTTTATCTTAAAGCAAGAGATACTGGAATGAAATCTGCGTGGGAAACCGTATCCCAAGTGAGCCTGTTGTCCCAGCAAATGTCTGTTGGGACATGAGAGGAGGATGTGGAGGAGAGTGGGCCTTGGTGTGTGGTCAGACACTGTGGAACTGCCTTGGTCTCTTTTGAGATTTTCACCAGTTCCCTTCTGGGTTTCTGTTGGCAGGCCAGGCTTTCCAAGCGGAGAAGAGATTTGAACTTGGCACAAAGTCAGAAGATTCGCGAAGAGAGGAGCGCGTGTCTGGGGAGGGAATGTTGCTTCCTTCCCTTTGCTTTTTTTTGGTTCAATAAATCTTAGCCCGTTTCTGAGGTGTTTCTCCTACCTGGAGCAGGAGGGGCTGGGTGGAAGCAGTGCCTGCTCTGCTCTAAGTTGTGAGGTGGAGTGGCTTGTGTGGATGTGTGGGTGCTTCCCTGAGAGCCCAGCTGTGGGAGGGACATCTCGAGAGCACTGCTCTTCAACACACTCCGGTGGGTCATTTACTCAAAGTCCATTCAGCTTGGGTGGGGTGTCAGCAAAATCTGGAAGGCTGCCTTGGTACATCCATGGAGTTTCCTTGTGTGAAAAGGCTGTGGCTAAACTTAAGGAAGAATAAGTAGTTAAGAGTCGCGGTGCTCTTCTGCAGTTGTGTGCTTAGTGTGAAACGTGAGGTGGTGTTTTGCATTTGTTCTGGCTTCTCTTACTCCTTCCTCTGCCATCTGCAGAAATGATTCTATGATTTGTTCTTCAGCACACGTAGCTCCTGGGAGGTTTGACCATAGCGCTTCTGAAATGCAGCTACTTTCTTTTAGTCATCCCAGAAATGTGACTCAAAATGTCTCACTTATCTGGGCGTATCCAGTGCATACCAGAAGGGAGAGATGCCTACCTTCTCTGAAAGACCTTCCTTTGAGCAAGATCACATTACAAAAAATTCTCCCTACCACCTGTAAACACTGAGAGTGATCTTCTTGCTGCATGGCAGCGAGAGAATCAACACCTTTTCCTCTCACTTTCCCTATGCTGAGCGAGTGGAAGCAGGAATTGTTCTGTGGATTTTGATGTTGTTCCAATCTTTTTGGATGAATCTGTGTGTGTGAATGGCAGGATACAGTACTGGGCTATGTTGAAGTAGCCTCATGAGGAGATGGCACCATGTGGAGGTTGTCCAGAGGAAAGTTTTGTTGAAAGGGTCTGCTGAAGCAAGAGAAGGCAGAAATAGCCACTGTTCCCATTTGGAGTAGTTTTTGTTTCAGGCTGCTGCCTTAACCATCACAAACGTGTACAGGTTGCTGCTACGCTTTGAGCTGTGAAGTGGATTGAGACCAAAGTGGATGTGGAGCAGGTGTGACCCAGTGTCCCTGGGGGATCTGAAGGAAGAAGCCAGTGGAACAGACAGTGAAAGGGCAGTGCTGGAGATCTGGGGTTGTCAGCTGGGTGCTGCCTGAGCATTTCATGTGCTGGCTCAGCTCTGTGGCTTGCCTGCTGGGTGAGGAAATGCAGAGGGGTTCCACACACGTCCGTCCCCTGTACTCACAGGAGGCTGGGGGTGCAGGGATGGGACTGGTCAGTGCCATGCAGCACTGGGACATTCACACCAGCACTGATACACACATCCCCAGGGGCAATGGAAACTGGTGGGGTGAGATTTTGGATCCAGGGCAGCTGAGTGGATCCTAACAGTGTCCTTGTGCCCCCAGGCTGTGTGCTCCTCTCTCTCTCTGCCAGCTTCCATCTTCTGCCACTGACCTATCTGGCTGTCTGCTTCCTGGGGGCTAATGAGTTGCAGAGGGCTCTGTGAGCATGTAAAGGTGACAGCAGCACAGATGTGTGACAGGAGGGACACAGTGAGGAACTGCTGGGGCCTGGAGCTGCTCCAGCAGTGTGCAGGTTTGCACCCATACGTGGTAATTCCCTCTGCTGGCAGAGTGTTGAGGGGCTTGTGACCTGTGTGAAGTCCACAGCTGACTCTTCCCTGTGAGGATTTGCAACAAATTCACTCGGAAGTGGAACACTGCCCTTTGGTGTGAAGGATTTGTGTGTCTGTACTGGGAATAGGAACTTCTCTTGGCCAGAGAGAGTTCTGACCTGGCTTGAGCAATGCCAACTGTGCTTCACATCATCAGAGAAAGGTGAACAACTTGCTAGAGTGATAATCGTGATCGGGTGATGCTACGTAATTAAAAACTCTGATTAATTCAGGTAGGGAGAGATGTTAATTTAAATGTATCTTAACCTTCTATTCTGTTGGTATGCTAACATTCAGGAGGGAACTCTTCCTGGTTAGGATAACTGCTGGCACATTCATTGGAGCTGACAATAGATTTTTCAGTACATTTAGAACTAGGAAAATGTCTAATTACTCAGATGACTAGGTACATTTCAGAAGCGCTTATTTGGAGGCTTTGTTTTGACTTTGTTTGAAGAGCATGAAATGCCTAACATTTTACCTCGGAAGGAAGTTGAATACAAATGAGGGCAGAGGACAGGCTTTAAAAATATCACTGAGGTGATGCTGAATGTGTGAGGTGCTGAGGAAAAAACATCTACAACTGAGCAGTGGAGATAAACTGCCTGGAGTAAAGCTCAGTGGCCAGAACCAACCCTCCTTCTTGGAGCTAGAACTTCCTATTTCTCCTCCGTAGTCTTTGGGGGAGAGATCAAACCTCAGTGATCCCTGAGTGTTCCCCATGTAAATCCTATCACTTTGTATGATCCTGCTGAGTGTAATTTGGATGTTTGTATTTTTCAGTGGAAGCGTTCTGTCTAGAGCCTGAGTGCTTTATTGGAGTCAGAGTTGCACTGAGACCTGTTTTGAGTCATTTTTTAAGGTGGAGCTTGTGCATGTCAAGAACAGCTCTGAAACTGAGCTTAAAATCTCAAAGCTGCTAGCCAAAGTCTGTGGATGGGATTTTACATGATTTTCACCTGGATGCTTTGTGCATGCCAAGTGCTGAAGGATGGTGGGAGCGGGAGGAATGGGCTGCTCTTTTGAAAGGCCTCTTTCCTTGCCTTTCACCAGGTGAGGGTGCCCAAAGGATCTTCCCCTCGTGTCCCTTGGCAGGTGTGGCCTGTGCTCCTGCAGCCCTGCTTGGCAGGAGGTGCCCCTGCAGCTGCTTGCCCAGGGAATAAAAGCTCTTGTCCAATGGAGCTGTTGATGCTCCACCTTTCATCAGCTCCGAGCAGGCAGGCGATTTCTGTGGCAAGCTTGTGGCTGTATCAAATTGGCTATGAAATGATTTGCATAATAGATTAATCAACCAGCAACAAATCATCCCTCTTTTCTGCCAAGAAAAGAAAAGCAACAACTCGGCTGTTACAAGAGGCCATTATGTTCCTTGCAACCCTTAATCTTTCTTTCTCTCCAAGAGAGCTCCGTGTTTTGGCCTCACGCAGGAAGCTGGCCTGCTCGCTGGCTTTATTTGCGTCACATCTTGGCAGCTTTTTCCAATTCTTTTGGGCCAAATTTTGCCACCGTTGTGGTGACCTTCTAGGGAGGGTATTTCCTATGGAACCAGTGGCCGGCTGCCAGACGATTCTGTGTTACCAGCTCCTCTGTTAGCCTTTGCCTTTCCATTGAAATTCCTCCGGGCCCCTTGAGCTCCGTCAGAATTGACCCATTTCCTTGGGAAGTGGGGGAGCAGGAGAATAAGGGGCAGCAAGTCACCTCAGCACATAGTGAGTGGGCAGGAGCTGGTCACTGTGTTTCATTTCTCCTGTGTTTCTACCTCCGTGTAAGCCAGCAGGACGGATTTCCTAAGCTGCACGGTCCTCCTGCTGCTCCAGATGTGACATCTGCGTGTCCTTGCCCGGCTCAAGGATGCCCAATCAGTGCTGGGGGAGTTCTCAGTCCGAGTGGATCCTAACGTGCAGATGATAAGAGGCTTAACTGGCTAATTGAATGTGATAGCGTGAAGCTTCTCTCATGGTGAGGTTTAATTGGATTATGATACTGTACAGTGATGTGGAGCCTTGCAGGGCACGCAGCCAGCTTCACAGGGAGAGAGTGGATCCTTGCTAATCACTCATTTGTTTAAAATAATGAATTGCCTAGAGAGCTCTGATGGGCGTGCTCTGCTTGCTGCAGCCAGTATCCCTGGAGAGGGGATCCCTAAAAAACCAGGGGCTACCACACATGTAGACCCTGTCCTTGGGTTGCTGCAGCTCTAGAGGAGGGTCTCCAGGTGAGGAAGAGACGAGCACCTTTTGCTTGGGAAAGCAGATGTTGTGTGCTGGAGTCTGGAACGTGTTTCCTCCTCTAGAACCTCTCCCACAGAGCTTTCTGTGGCTGTGTGGCTTGTCACAAGCTGTGCCTTTCTTTTGAGGTGGCCTGCCTGTTCCTTCTCGTCTAGCAGCTGCCAGGCTGCCTTCCAGCACGCTTACTTGCAGGGCAATAACTATTTTTGATCGGGAGCTCAAATGCTTCCCCTGCTCCAGCGGGAAAGCAATCTGATTTTTAAAGTCCACAGCAAAAGTAAACCTGAGAGCAGCTTTTGTAGGCTGTGAGGTTTGCTTGGAGGAGGCTGTGGTACAAACCAGAGCTGGGCTCTGCAGGCCAGGCAGTGTTCAGGTGCTCACCTGGCTCAGGGGATGTTGGCAGCGCCTGTATTTTGGGTGTGTGTGCTTTATGAAAGGCACTGAGCTGCTGTTCCTGGGAGTTTTTGCACTGAAAGTAACAGTGTTTGGTTTACCGATGTTTCAAAAGGGTCTGAAATGTACAGGGTTGCTCAGATCTGTTTTCAGAAGAGTTGTCAAGGAAAATAGCATTTGTTCTCCTGTAAGTGGATGGATTAGCATAAAATATCAGCTTTGATGCCGTGTGAAGTGTGAAGCTCCTCATCCATAGCCTTTGTACTGGTTTGGAGAGTTAACTGTTTGTCTCAGCAGTGTTTGAAGGGGCTGGGAGATGCCCCAAGGATGCTGTGTGTCATCTGGGCACGAGCAGCACCTGGGCACTGCAAGCTTTTGCTGAGCTTGTCCCGTTTCTTGCTGTGGCTCATCCACGCGATCAGATAAATGTGATCGCTTTGCTGTTGCTGGGAAATGGCAATTTAGCCACTTTTCCCCCAGTGCTCTAACATGTGGGACCTCCCTCCCACAGCTCTAGTCCGGGCTAATGATAAACCCACTCCTCTCTCCTGCTTGTTTGCTTTTTTGGCAGTCAGGTGCCCTGGAGCCTGTAGAAGGAAAGTGAAAGGGAATAGCCAAGGGGGATTGCTGGTGTTTAACCAAAATCTACATAGCTTGCAGGTCCTTCTGGACCTCGGGGAGGTGGTTGGGTTTGTTCTAAAAAGGAACAAACCTGGTGATCCAGGATGACTTTTATTTTTTG